TGATCTTCTACCTCCAGTAACGTCGCTACCGCCTCCTGCAGTAGGGAAGCCACCAGATCTACTGCCGGTTTTAGCCAAGGAGGAATCGCTGTGACTGTGCCCGTTTCGTGTTCGTGGTCTGATCAGTCAATCCGAATTTGACCCGAACCTGACCCGTGGACCAGTTTTGACACCTCTTTGACAGAAATAAATCTCTATTTATGACAATAATTCTCATGAAATGTACAACAGTAAAATATTAAGCAACTAAATATATACATATATCTTGGATACTCTACTCAACAGGTAAGTAAAACAGCTGCACTAGAGAAGATGCTGCCCATTCAAAGATATTAAATTGGTGGGTTCCAACCCAGCGCAAGTAGGGAGCTTTTTGAAATAATGAGTCATAAATTATAAAATATAGTATTTAAATTTATAAGTTTTAAATATAATTTTCTTCTTCAATTCATGAGCTATCAATTTCATATTCTTTTTTGAGCCATGCAGTATTATCATATTTATGACTCTCGGTTCTTTATTACAGTTATAGCAGCTTTAGTGTTGATTTCTTGTCTTTAATCGACTGTGTTGTAATTTTGTTTTTCTCAATCCTTTGGTTTGATTTACTCACTCAGTTGTAATTGTTTACAGCTCCTTATAAGGCATCTCCAGTCAAAAACCCCATTTTTTTCACTCTAAAATATCATAAAATTTCAAAATGCGGTAGTTTTTCTCCAATGGAATTCCATTTTTCTTTTTTCGCGTGCTTTTTTGAGAAGGTAACCATCTCTCACCTGTTTCGCACACTTCCTGCAAAGCTAGCCAGAGTGCGAAGGTAATTGCTTTTTTTTTTTACGTAGGTGAACAGTCCGACATCAATATTGCCGTCATACTGTTCACCTACCGATTTTTGAAATGAGATTGGGAGTTTAAAATGTATTAATTTGCAGAATGCGTATAATAATATGCAGTTCGATTAGAGATGATATTACTGCTTAATACAATTGAGTTATGAGCTCTCATAGATTATTAGAAAAGAAAACACTAATCTGACACATATAGATCATGAAAAGACTGTCATCATTATGAATAAAAAATGGCTAAAATCATCATGTGATGACTGTAAATGGATTGTCATTAGGTTTTTTTACACATTCAATCCTTTTACAATCACTTTTTACAAAATTAACCAACAACAGACAAAACTTTGAATGACTTGCAGCATGATTGATTGCAACTCAAACTGACACATAAAAGATAGAAAAAGGCTTTGAATCAGAAGAAATATCTGTGTTGGTGCAGTTTATAATTGGGTATTCTATGTCAATTATTATTATTATTATTATTTGCATTCTCATGAAAATTTTTACTGATGATATCCTCTTGCTAGACTTTTTTGTTTTTTTCAGGAAATTATTGTTTGGGGCTGTTCAAAGCTGCTTTAAGAAACATTAATAAATTTATCCTAAATAAAATTTTAGTGGTGTAAAGCTTATAATTGATGTGTTTTCTCATTATTATAGGAAAATATAATTGAGCTCTAGCTCTCTTTTTTCTCAAAGAAAGAAGACATGTTTTTATGCATTATCAGAATTATTCGAGGTTGATTTTATAATTTTTATATTTCATTATTTATTTCTTTATAACAGCTTAATAAACTTATTTATACAAAACTTAATAAACTTACAAATTGTTTTACAGAACTTCAATATATATTTACTTCAGCTCATTTTTTTGTCCTAATTTTATTTATCTACCCTCTGGTTGTTGATGAATTATTTCCTAAATAGTTAGGTGAGAGCAAATATGAACTTTGAGATAGTTTTTTTTCGGTTTTATTTGAGATGACTTTCTTACTGCATTATAACGTAACTTTTTAGTACAAAATTTTTTAGTTCTGATATGTCCTACAAAAATTATCTTGATCGAGCACAAATCTCGAGGCAAAATCAAATTGGAAAGTTCAAAAATTAAATCCATGACCATCTGGACTCTGATGTTAGCAAAAATATGAACCCAACGACACCAAATTCAACTCAATCCGAACCCAAATAGGACCAAATCAAAGATTCAAAGTGTCTTTGGAACATTCAAACCATAATTTGGATTACCAAATGATTTCTAAACGTGACATGCTTATAATCAAATCGAGCGGCTCAACGAGACGAATCCAATGAAATGAAGATCGCCAAATTTTGATATCACTAAGGCACTCAAATACTCAATAAACAATCCATGATCAAAGAAATCGATATCGACCGTCCATTCAAACCATTCGCAACATGCCCATGATCTTCTCCTTATTTACTGATCATGTCACTTTCAGAAAACTATAAAAATACTCCTCATTCCTTATGGAAAAGGGGGAAGAGAGGACCCAAAGGGAGCCAAGCACGAAAAGAATGAAGAGAGCTCTCTTGTCACCAGATCACTCCTCCTTGACCACCGCCAGACTTCTGCCCGGCCACCGAATGTGGTCGGACTTCCGCCCGGTCACTGTCCAACACCGGACTTCCGCCCGACCATCAATTAACACCGGGTTTCTACCCATTCATGGACTGACTCTAGCTAGACTTCCGCTCGACCTTCATATTTCAATCAGACTATTGATCAGTTTAATTTAATCATCCTCAATTTCAAAGAAGAATCAGACACTTGTAATTTAATCAAACACTAGTGAAATCATTTCAACTAGGCGTGGCCCAGTGGCTTTTCACTTTTCCAGGGTTTTCCATATAAAAATCTTGGTATCTCTTATGAATGATACGCCTTCTCTTCTATCTGATTGCGTGCTGGATCTTCGTATACAACTAAGATGCTAAATTTTATATTTCTCTCTACCACCATGAATATTCCAAGACGCAACAAGTTCAAAAAAAAAAAAGTGTACTAAAAAATTGCTTAAAAAATAAATAAAAAAATCAAGCCATAATTATTATGAAATGAAGAAATCCTCTCCCATTTACCCTTAATGACTCCCATGAGCCTTTTATTTTAGTGCGAAAGCCATGAATTGACCTTGAAGGAATTCGTGACAGATAGTAGCTAGCATAATATTTAATATATTTTTGGCACTACAACAAACTTTATGTTTTATATGACTAGAGTGGAGGAAACATGCATCTCCTCCACCTGCAGCTCTTCTTAACACTTTATCCCATTAGATATGAGAGATTATTCTACATTGTTTCCTAACGCATTCGGAGGTCAATCTAGACGTATCACGTCATCCAATTCACTGTACATTGTGTGAGGTAACACATCCAAATTAACCTCCGGACACCACACGTAATAATTTTTTCATTAGATATACCAACTAAATATAATACTAAAAAATATATATTACATTAATTTTAAAACAAAATACAATAACTATTATTCATTAATAAAAATTTGATCAGATTATTATAAGCTTTTTTTTTTTCAAACATTATCCTTAACAGAAATAGCTGCACTTCAAAAAATAATAATAATAAAAGAAAGAAACAATAAAGCTATGATCTGCCAATCTTCCTTTGAAATAATTAACATCTAATAATCATCATAAAAGATTCTCTACATTGAAAAATGGACTGCCCTTACCACTATAGCATATGCCACATATACATAGTTCCATAAAAAATAATTTAGCACTACACTTTTTGGAATAATAAGCTCTCTTAAGGGGTAAGGAAAGCTTTTTGGTAAATTATAAATGTTTGGGCCAATGTGCTCTCTAGCTGTTCCCTTAAGGTAAGCACCATGAAAAGACTAACATGTTACCTCAAGGTAAGCACCGACATGCGGGCATCCAATTCGGACACGTCACCTCACCCGAATGCACTGGGCCCCGATATTTTTGAGTGACGTGGCACGTTTTTATTGATGTCCGGACGAATCCAGACACCGGACGTACACAATAATTTGCCAATTGTTTGAGCTACTTTTAAAATAAGTAAATAAATATTTAATCAATTAAAATAAATTTACACATATATAAACTTCGAATTCAATAATTCTTAATTAGTAATTAAAATCTTCTACCAATAGATCAAGATGAATTGTATGCCTCATCTCTTATTTCTCGCTATAAACAAAATTTGTCTATTTTTAAACAGGTAGTAATCTTCAACACTATTCAATTGTGTTTCCAAACAAAGTTACAAATATATATCCTTTATTTCAATTGGAGAAATATTATACTATTTAAAAAATTATGTCATAGAAGTATTTAAAAAATAAAAAGATTGAAGTCAGGGCTGAAACCAAGAGGAGCTCAGGAAAATATTTTTTTTTCTTAGAAGAATAAACATTTTAACTATTTTGCTCGCCTTCAATAAATGCAATTGCCTGAATCCTAAGAAAGAAATTCATTTTTATATTATATATAAAAGATTATACATTCACAACTCTGTTTTGCCCACCCTCAAAAGAGATGTTGATTCCGCCCCTAAATTTGAAGTAAGAACATTTTGTCCTAAATAAATATGGATAGTACTTTCTTAAACTTGATTGATCTACTAATAAAAGTAGTACAAATGACTTTTTGCATACATACATTTTATTTTAATGAGTGTAGTATTACTCATTTAAATTATAGATGTCAGCTCGACTTTGATGAACAACTTTGTAATGGCAGGAGAATATCGAATTAAGAAAAAAATTGATCAAAATGATCCTCTGAATTCTCACAAATGACTAAACTGATTCTCAATCATATAAAAATTTTATTTTAGTCTCTTTGCTTTAAAATAAAAACTTAAATGATCTCATGATAATACTAATTCGATCTTTTTTTTAAAAGAGTCAAGAGAACAAATGTATTTATTTTTATATAAGGAGATTATTTTGATTCTTCCAAAATAATCCTTTACTCAATTAAGAACTATTATTTTATTGGTGGAAGGTTTTTTTTTTAAATATTTCAAAAAAAAAACAATGTTCTTTACTTATTATTTACATGGCATAGCACTTATCAATTTTTTAAAATACTATAAAAAGATTTAAATAGGATAAATCACTAAAAAATCAAAACAATAAAAGGAAGAAATTGTTCAAAATGTTTCATAGATCATCCAAAACTCTTCATGGTTCTGAGTTACAGCTTACGACCATAAAAAAAAAAAAATTCGACAAACTCCACTGCCCTCGCTTGAAAAAAAAAGGATGGCTAGATCCGATTGAGAGCCATTTAGAGCCACAGTGAACTCCTGGGTCTCTTGTTATTTCTGTAATTGTAGTGAAATTGGCTCAATTCCGGCACCATGGAGGCCTCGGCATCTTCGCTCCAACGAGAGCGACTACCCTCTTCAGAACTCATCACCGGACGCCACTGCATCTCCGGAGGCGCTACCACATCGGTGGTGGAGTTCACACTAGCAGAAGTGAACCAAGGCACATTAACCGCTGGCTGAACTCCATGCACCTGCAACCACGTACAAACCACACTCGATTATTAAAATCCTAAATTTCTCTCATAATTAAGCATCAGAGAACGAACGAAGATGACAGAAAAATCTTGCCTTCCAGAGTCCGGCTTCGGTGACGTTCTCGTCGGCGGCTGGTTCATCGAATAAGAAATCATCCACGCGCCACCCCGGCAACATCTTCATCAAATAATCTGTTATGCTACTCCCACTGCCACCGCCGCCGCCGCAGCCGCCGTTTTTTAACTTGGTAGCTGCCGTTCTACAGGCCGATTTTTCCTCTGCAACTCTGCTTTTGCTGTTCGAATCAACTTCGTCTTCGGAAGAAGGGATCGGAGAGGAAGAGAGCCGGATTCCGCTGAGTAGGAAGCGACTATGGCGGCCGGCGGGGACGTTGGCCGTGTGGATGGGCACGTCACAGTCTCTGCACAGTATTGCCCTGTCCTCCTGGCAGAAAACAAACCCCTTCTTTTTCTGCAGCATATAAACCAAAAAAATCGCATTTTAATTGTCTCCGAACTCCAATTTTACGTTTTAAACTTTTTATTGTTGTTTAGAGTAAACAGGGGATTAAAAGATCAGTAACCTTGCAGATGTCACATAGAGGAAGGGGACGATGTGAGGGGAGGATGAGGGAGAAACGGCTGTGTTTTCCGGCGAGCTTGTTTGCGGAGTGGATGCGGCCATCGCAGGCGGAGCAAAGAGCGGCCTCGTCGGCGCAGCAGAGGACGGAGGCCTGCTCGACACCGCACACGTCGCACTGTATCTTCATCTGGCTTCTTTTCCTCTACTTCTGTGTGTCTGCTCTGCGCTTTATCTTTCCCTCCTATCTCTATCTGGTTAAGTAGAATGGTAAGGCGAGCTGGAAGAAGATGGGAAGCGATGATAAGTTAGATCAACAGCTTCTAAAGGGACAGGATATTGGTGGAATTTACAGATTGTACCACGGCTTTTGGTGATGAGTTTACCCTATAACTTACCAAGCCTTTGGTACTTAGTTTTTTTTTTTTTTTTTGTTGGGCAGTTGGAGTAAAAATAGATGGAGTAATTGAAGGTTGGTAATTATTTTTATCTGTTATAAAATAATTTGTTTATTGGTGATCAACAATGAGCATTGAACGACCAATATAAAAGTTTTTTTTTTCCAGTATGACACTTGAAAGCTATAAATCTTTAAAATAGGTTAACTATTAATTATCATAAGAGTTGGTGATCAATGAGATTTTCTCATGAAATACTGATATATATATATATATATATAATATCTTGTTCATATTTTGAGCTGGAATCAAAGAAAGGGAGAGAATAGAATTACAATGAAATAAAAATATGAAAAATATTTGAATAAATAATTATTTTTATCTTGTATTTATCCTTTAATCGATCGATATTTATTTTTTTCAAATAATTATAAATATAAACAAATCTCATAAACACTTTTTTTTTCTTATTAGTTATTATACATGTTTTGCTTAGGAAGGATTTAATTATATATTTCATCAGCTATAATTTTTAGTGCATCTAATGAGAAGATAAATTCCCCTAAATAATTAAAAAATTTTGGATTATGAAGTAATTAAAGAACTTTCTATTCAGATGACAAGGCAGATCCAACGGCTGAAATTCAACAATATCAGACCGCCGGTGCGCGAGATCTTTTCGCACCTGGAGATGTGCGGAGGGCGTGTGTATGAAAGCTGTGACGGCGAAAAGGGCGGATGACGGCGACCGGTTTTGTCAAATTGGTGAAGCCCTGATTAAGCTAAAAAGTGACCTTTTTAGTTTTTTCCCAAATATTGGACTTTTTATCTATTTTACCACCGCCTTTCCCTATCAAAATCAATTCGATGTGATTGGACAGCTCTTAATTAAATTAATTATATTAATCGATCGTACGAACAAGATTTAAACTAAATGCTATACAATGGATGGAAGCGGCTGATTTTTCTTTTATGCACGATTGTATAGGAGGTGGGCCCACCCATCTCCATCGCTTATCCATTGCATTATAGAGGTTGCTTGATTTTGGGTGTTTGAGCATTTGAGGAGTACATTAGAAAAAAATTAAAGAATTTTAAGGTTTAAGTGATTGATATGAAATATAAAAAATATAAATATTTTTTATATAAATTTTCAAATAAATTTGAATTTTATTTTTGATGAATTTTAAATTCAATAAATTCAAAAATCAATCTTATGTAACTCTTGATTTTTTTCCTTCGTGTTCTCTCTCTTTTTTGGTCAATGAATAATTGCTGATCTGTCTCTAAAATCTCCTTTATACATCATACATGTCTCTCTTTCAATCATTAACTTTTTTTTTGACATTTGGGTCAATTAAGGTAAAAACACACACATCACATATGCAAGCTTCAAACCAAATAGCTCTTGTTTGATATTCAAAGCTCCTAACTAATAGACCGAGATGAGTTGTGTATTCAACCTTCAACTCAGTCAAATCTTTGACTTATCAGCCGACTCCAACATTCTACTTCCACTACAAAAAAATGACTTTTCGCCACAGTCAGTAACTTTTCTGGCTATTTAAACCATCGCTAATTTAAATGCTTCGATACTTTTTCCCAACGGTTGCAAAACTGCTACGAAAAATTAATCTTTTAGCGGACATCAACTTCAGCGGTCAATTTTTGTTGGGATGAAAACCACCGCTAAAATTAGTTTTAAGTGTGCCGAAACCATTTTTTCATGTAGTGTTTTCATCCCCCATTCAGCTCTAGATTGCTTCAACTTTGTTTATTTAGCTCTATCCAATCTTTCTCCTGTTTTAAATCCACTATAGTGATGCATGCCTTCCCCTCACCCTCCAACTTTGGATCCACCTCCCCCTTCCCCTTTGACTCCAAATCCAATAAAATTTGATTTGGAGATTAATATTTTATGAATTTATTATGCAATCAATCAAATATAAAAAATATCATGTGAAATATGTTGTTGTAGATGAATTTTAAAATACATTTATTTTTATGTGAAAAAAATTAAATAATTAAATAAGTTTATATTGCATTAATTTTTATTGAGTTTGATTTAATTTTAATTTAAATTTTAAAAATTGTTTTTCAAAATCCTTCAAAATGTTGTTGAATTTTGATCCAAACCATTTCTTTTTTTATTTTGATTAGTAGCATGTAATATAATATAAAATTTAATAAAGAAGTAATGTAAAATTTACATATTTTTTATATTTTTAAAACTTAATTTAAATTAATATATATATTAGGTTCTATCATATATGACTCGTCAAAATTTTATAAGGAGACTATCTACCCCAAAATCAGGTGTTTTTTTTTATATATAGATTTAAATTGGATTAAACATAATTAAAAATGGAAAACAAATTTAGATAAAAATAATTTTAAATTTATACGAAGTCTTAATACTATTTTAAATATAAATATTATATTCTATTTTTTATATTCTATTTTATATACATTTCATCAAAAATTCATAGTGATTATCTACATTAAAATTAGACTTTTTCCGAAGGAGCTCAAAGATATATAAAAAAAAATTATAAATTAAAATTAAATAAAAAATTATAAAACATTTTTGTTCTAATATTAACTTATTGAATTCCTCATCATGTAAAGGAAAAAAAAAAAGATTCATAAATTGAAGCTGAAGAAAAAAACTTCAACGTATGAACAATTATTACGTCCTCTGACCGGACGTAGATCTACGTCCCGGTCAGAGGCTTGTTACTCAATTTTTGCTTAGTATTTGATCGTATTGATAGGTATTGTTGATAATATGGAGGAATACCGCTCTGGGAGACCAATACCGAGCCAATACCGAGTTATACAAAAAATTACCGAGAAAAAACTCGTATATTTTTTGGGTATAACTCGGTATTGCTCGTAATAATTCGGTATTTCGTCTTCACCTAATGATATTTCTCGTTATATTGGTATTGCTCGGTATTTCTCATTTTGTGCATGCAATCTTAGTGGCGACCGGACGTAGCTACGTAAGCTCACGACCAAATAAAAGTTCCAACGTTATGGCTTGGCAGCAAAATAATTAATTTTATTTTTGAGACTGATGTTATATAGTATATACAAATAATTTATATTATATTAATTGAAAAACTAAATTTAATAAAATTTAAATATATTATGATATTAACTATATTTAATTTTGTATTTTTTCGATTACAAAGTATTGGGAATGTAGCATTTGATTAATGTAAAAATGAAAATAAGAGGAGTAAGTGGAATATTGCATTATTTTCCAGACAATAGGGGATGGGCTATTGACAGGTTTCAAAGTAGCATGGCTAGATGTTTCTATCAGTGGAGATATCGATATATAATTGCCCAATGCTTCTTACATCTTTTAACCAAGTGGCTCATAATTTAATAATGAATAAATATGAGAGATAAAAAGTATTTAAATTTTAATCAAATTAAAATATATTCAAGTAAATTCGAGATAAATTTTGAGTTTAGGGGAAGTATTTTGAGCTCATTTAAATTTAGGATTTGTTCATGATGATTGTAGTATTTTATAATATTAGTTGTGAAGTTATTGGGAGAAAAATAATTTAGCTATTTGGGTTACAAAAAATATTGTTTAGGTTGAATGAAATTATAGTGAAGTCAAAATTTTATAATTTTCATTACGACACACTTCAACATGAGCTATATCCTCTATTAACAATGTGATGGTTGGTATAATAAAAGGAGTGAGGAAAAATTATGGTGAATATTAAATATACTTTAAAAGCGGCATTAGTTGGTGGTTTGGCGGAAGTCCAGGCGTCACTAGGTGGTCTGGTGGAAGTCCGACGTCATTTGATGGACCGACGGAAGTCCGGGCGGTGGTCGAAGAGGAGCTAGGTGGCAAGAGCGATCTCATATCTCTCTTCTTGCTTCTTTGCTTGGGGTCTCCTTTCCATGAGAAATGAGGGATTTATTTATAGATTTTTGAGAGTTACATGACCAATAAATATGAGAAAGATCAATGGTAAATTGGTAGTGGTTTGAATAGACGGGTGATGTTGATTCACTTGATTGTGGACTGTTTATCGCACATTTGAATGTCTTAACGAAATCAGAATTTAGCGATATTTGGCTCATTGGATTCTCTCATCGAGCCGCTCGATTTGAATATAATCATGTTAGGTTTGGAAACTGTTTGGTAACCCAACTTATGGTTTGAAACTTCAAAATATGTTTCAGGTCTTTGATTTGGATTCATTTGGGCTCAGATTGAGTCTAATTTGGTATCATTGGCTTCATATTTTCGAGATGATTATTTCAACTATAAGTTTGTTAAAATCGGAATTCAAATGATCCCAATTTTAATTTTGAAAGTTTTCAATTTGATTTTGCCTCAAGATTAGTGCCCTATCAATATAATTTTTTGATGATATATCAATCATCATTGACATAAGTTCTTCCTAGGTATCAAATGGGAAAACAATCATTAAAAAAAAAATATTAATTAAAAAATAAAATAATAAAATGCTGATACAAACGTGCTCTTAAATATCTGTGGGGGCCTAAGCATTTATGCCATTCACACACATATCCATATCCAGCTGGATTTTTTATTTATTTATTTATTTTTGTTTAACAACGATGATATCAGAAGATCATTAAATAAATCCCCACCTAATCCTCCTCCTCATACCTACTTAGCTTTACATGAAATCAAAACTTTATTAGTTATTATTTTATGTTTGTGAATTATAAGAAAGAAGTAAAAATATTAAATAACACTAATTCTGCACGCAATATTAATATTTCCTTTAGAAAAGCAATGGACGGTGAAAAAGGTCTCTTTTGTCGCCTTACCACATTTCTTTGACGGGAATATGAGATGAGAAATACCTAATAAGTTATAATAAAAATAAAAATAATATTAAT